CAGTCTTACTGATAATACCTTGATCACCCCATGTGTGTTGTACCTGGAATTCCCACTCGGTAACTGTCAAGGCAAAGTCCATTCCAAAGGCCATGAGAAAGAGGAGGAGGCCGGGCTAACCAGGTGGGGAGGAGGTAGTCGTGGTTAGCCAGTCCAGACATTTTAGACTTACTGTGATTCCCACAAGTAAGAGGTATAACACCGCTAGCAAAAGCCTTTTCCAGAACACCAATTCCTGTGGGCCCACAGCAGCCAGTTAGAGAGACAGATGGTTTCCTGATGGTAAATGTGAGCAGATTGCAGGTCATGGGGAGGAAGCCCTGAGAGGCCAAAGATACCCTCAGAGTTGACCAGAGGGCTGCTAAGGTACCCTGAATGGTTGAACTGCAGAGTGACTGATGAGGAGCGCCTGTCCCAAGCAGTCTTACTGATAAGTCTGGCGGAGGAACAGGAGGCCTGTCAGAGGGGGACAAGAAAGGGGGAGGAGTTAAATTGAAGGGTGACGTGTAACTTTGCAAGGATGTCATGGCCTAGGAGAGGTGTGGGGCATGTCAGAATGACAAGAAAAGAGCGGATAAAGTACATTTTCCTGAGGCAGCAAGCTGCTAAGTTTCAGTAGAGAGAGGACATGAGGGCTGGCCATCAATACCCACAATAGAGACCTGGGAGGGTAATAAGGGACCAGGGTATGTTGGGAGGACCGAGTAGGTAGCCCCCGTGTCCACCAGGAAGGTAAACGACTTACCCGCTACCTGAAGCGGGACCCTGGGCTTGGCGAAGGTAATTGGGGTGATCAAATCAGGAGCCCGTCAATCCTCAGCCAGTCCCACCGTGGCCAGGTCAAAATAGGGGTGGTGGATCTCCTCTCTGCGTGGAGGCGTCGGGAATGGATCTTGTCTCCCTCTTTGGGGGCAGTCACAGCCCCAGTGACTCATTTTAGTGGGTGGCCTGGGATCCCGGCATTCACGGGCCCAGTGGCCTGGCTTGCCACATTTGAAGCAGTTTCCCTGGGGAAGACTGTGTCTAGGGACCCCTTTCTGAGGTGCCGGCCGCAGGGCAGCCACCAGGGCTTGGGCTTGCATGGCAGCCATCTGTTCGGCCTGTTTGTGATGAGCTACCTCAGTGTCCTCTTGGGAATTGAAAACTGTAATTGCCATGTTCACCAGGTCTTGTATGGGGGTTTGAGGGCCCTGTTCAGTCTTTTTTTGGGAGAGGTTTTTTCGCTATAGGGCGCATGCGCTCTCCAGACAGACAGAGACAGAGAGACTGAAAGCGAGAAATCACCCCCCAGGGGGGATGGTCATGCCGCAATCCCTTCTCCTTCATTCTCCTCTCGGGATCTTGGGCAAGTACGCACCTGGCGTGAGTTTAAACCACTGGGTCCAGGACGCGAACCACGGTCGACTGTGTGGTTGTCCAGCGACATAGCCATTACGCTAACTGCTGGTTCCCTACCCTGTTCAGTCTTTTTACGCTTCTTTCTAACATCAGGGGCTGACTGGGTGATAAAGTGGGTGGCCAGAACTACTGCCCCGACAGGACGTTCTGGGGAAAGTCGGGTATGGGGTTGCATAGCCTCAGTGAGGTGGCTCGAAAACATGGCTGGATTTTCTTCTCCACCCTGGGTGACTTCTACCCGCCATGTGGGCCCTGTCAGCGTGCTCTCTTCCTGCCGCCTGTACCCGGTCACGCTCGTCTGCCATCACGGTGGATGTCATAATTACAGGGACGTCATGCCAGGTGAGGTCATAGGCCTGTGTGAGGTATCTGAATTCCTTGATAAACTGGGGGGGAGGGGGTGGGCAGAGAAGGAGCCTAAGCGCTTTTCAATGGCGGACAGATCCACAAGGGAAAAAGGAACATGGACTCAAACGACTCCCTGAGCTCCGGCCACCTCCTGTAAGGGAGCCATGACCTGGGGTGGGAGTGGGTCATTTGAATGCGTTTGGCCGGCAATGGGGGAGAACAGAGGGACTGTTGGCCGAGGGGGGTGGGGAGGATTTTCAGGGTAGGGAGGTGGGGGGGCAGAGGGTTCAGGAAAGTTTAATGGGAGGTCAGGAGGGAGTCTCAATGGAGAGGAGAGAGATTCTGGGGGAACAGTGAGAACAGAGGATTCAGGGGGTTCAGAAGTTTCCTTGGAAAGGCTAGGAGTGGGTTTTTGGCCCTCGCCCGCATTAGCAAGCAGAATCTGGGAGGGAGAGCAGGTAATACAGAGGTGGGGGCGAGAGCGCAGATACCAAAAGCCTGAACACGTGGGACTTATGTCCATTTGTCGTTACTCTGGCAAAAACTGGTAAGATCGGTCAAGACATTGAAATCGAAAGTACCCTCGGGCGGCCAGATTGATCCATTGCTTAGTAAATATTTGGGCCAAGCTGTGGTCTACAGAAAGACCAGGCAGCATTTGGATTATGGAGGACACACTCTAAAGGTGTTTTTGGATTAAGTTTGGAGGCAGCAGACCCCATGACGGATTAGACCAGACCTCCGGTAGAGAGAATGAGCCGAAAGACGTCCCCCTTGGGTATAATCTCTCTATGGATAGGAGGGTGAAGGAAAAGTGTTGTCCAGGCAGCCCTGAGAAGAGACAATCCTTAAGGTACCCCTGGGGCACCTGGAATGGATGGGGAGTGTTCCTGGCACGGCCATGACTACAGACAGAAACTCTCTGGAGGTCCGAAATGGGGCTGGGGTCGCTTACCTTCCCAGCTTGATAACCACATGAGAGGTCCATAGGAGGGGCTCTGACCAAGAGGCATCCAGCCCCTCCCGGGTTTCGGCACCAGATGTTAGGTTTGATTTGGGAGCGGTGGCGAAGTCAGAGGTGGCAAAGGCGAAATACCAAAGTCAGGCTTTGGGGTTTAATAAAACCAGCATAACTTATTCTGCACTCTCTGGTGAGGTCCCTTGGTCACACCCAGGGTGAGTACTGCTCATTCTTAAAGGGCCTTTGTCCAATGTTTCCACCATGTTTCTTTTCCCTTCCCCCAGACCTTACAAACAGGTCTTTTATTTATTTATTTTTAAGGTTTTTGCCTTAGGGCATGTGTACTTGCCAGAGAGATGAGACAGTGAGAGGGAAAGTGAGAAATCACCCCCCGGGGGGAAGGCCACGCTGCAATCCCGTCTCCTCCAGGCTCCTCTTGGGATTTTAGGGATGCATGCATGAACGCACACATGCCTTGCATAAGTTTCAAGTCATGGGATATGGGACTCGAACCACGGTTGGTCATGTGAGAATCTAACACCTTAACCACCATGCCACCTGCTGGCCCCCAGACATAAGTCTTAATAGGAGAGAATGGACAATAGTCACAGACTCTGGTTTGGGACAGTTCCTGAAATGACAGCCACTTTATCTTGAGTTGAGCACCAAGCTAGTGCTTTTGTTTTGATTGGTTTGTTTGTTTTGCTTTCCATCCTCACAGAGCTTACCAATCAGGTTAGACAACGCAGCAGGTTGCAGTTACCTGAGTGCTATTCCTTTTAGCATGGAGGTAGTATGGCATGAGCTGAAAGCATTTAGGAATCATGAATTCTAGGAAGATTGATCATTGGATTGCTGGTAGTAGCCCTGATGGTATGAAGCAGTTGAGAAACGTATGTATTTGTATAGGGGGAAAAATGAGCTCATTTCAAAACATTTTTAGTTTTTAGGGTGGTAGGAGCCTCAACCAGGATATGCTCAGTATGCAACAGGTAAGGACGTGAAGGGAGGGTGACAGGCCAGGGCTTGAGATTTGTAACGCATTCATGCAGAAATGGAAGTCTGGAGTATAGGGGTGAAAACTGAAAATTCAGGTGGGTGAGGTTGAGAAAGAGAAAGTCCCTCTCTGAGGAAGAGAAACAAGAGATAGAGGTCAAAGGTAACTTCCAAGGTGGGGACATTTATTTAAAACAGTAGAGAGGATCAAAAGGAGAGGGAGAAACCCATGTCAATACCAGAGGTTTCTTCTTCTGGAAGGGGAATAAGTTGTTTTTCTTTCTTTTTTTTTTTTTTTTTTTCTTTTTTAATTCTTTTTTTTTTTTTTTTTCCTTTGCTAAAGAGAGATTTTTGCTATAGGGCACCTGCACTCGCTAGAGACAGAAAGCTAGAAATCGTCCCCTGGGGTGAGGGGTTGGCTGTGCTGCAATCCCTTCTCCTTCATTCTCCTCTCGTTTGGGCACATATGCACACGTGCCCAGTGTGAGTTTTAAGCCACCAGGTCCAGGACTTGAACCACGGTCCACTACGTGGGAGTCCAGCGACATAACCATTATGACATCCGCTGGAGAGTGTTTTGAACAGGGGTACATCTGAGCACAAACTGATTGAATCTTCTTTGCAAGGCCGACAAGTTTCTCTGTGAGGGTTCCTGACCTGAGAGAGGTGACATAGCAGGTGTTTACAGGTAAAGAAAATGGAACACAAACACACACCCCACATGGCTGAGTCCATTCTTTCATGAACTACTACCATATTGTTTATTTCCAAGAGGACAGAACAAGGAGGATCCGATTTAAACGACAGACATGGAGATTGAGGCCACTCCGAGGGGACAACTTCTGTTAAGAGACACTGGGGAACGATATTGAGATGGGTTATGAAAGACCGAATCCCCTGAGAGCTCTAAGAATACGATCAAAGTACACAGAACCCAGCCTGCCTCTACGTGATGACACTGAGCCGATGTTTCTTTCTCAAAAGGCAGTGGGCTAGATTCGATGGCCTTCCCTTCCCCGGCAGCGCCTGAGCGTGCGTGTCAGAGGTAGAAGTGAAAAGAAACCGACCAGAGCGAGCTGGGGGTGCCGCGGTCCCTTTAAGAGCGGCAGTGGCGGCGGCAGCGGC